CTATAAAAATTTAGAGAAATCTGTGGTCGACCGAGGAGTATCTTTTGGTTGGAGTATTGTATGATATATGTCTGATTGATCGTTCTCGATTTGGATCGAAATTAATTAGTTTCGAACTGAGTCTGGGGAACGCAGGAAATCAACAATTTCTACATAGCCAATGCGCAGAGAACAATGACAGTCAAACAGGTGCTTTTATTTTTGCTCGTTACATTATCACGTCTAAAAAAACGTTTTAATGCTTTAATGTAGCTCAGCATTTTTCTTTTACTTTTTGTAATTTCGACAATGTAGTTGCTGTTGATTGCGATTTCTACAGAGTGACTCTTTGAAGAGAGACAAAGTTTGAGACTTAATAAAAGAAATAAGTATTTTGGAGTATGAAATATATATTGTACGACTTTACTTCAACTTTTAGCAACGTCTCATGAATTTGTCACTGTTGTCTACAGTCACTCTGTATTTGTCTTATGTGAAGCATGTTTTCAACGCCAACGAATGATGAAAATCAGAAGGTCATGTTTAGCATTAAAATAAAAGTACACAGTAAAAAACATTTTGTATCAAAATTTTGTGTCAAAATCGGTCCTTGTTAAAATTTTTGTGTTAAATAATCTACATATTTATATGTAAATTTAACACATGTCTGCTATGTTAACTGACCTTAAACAAATATAAAATGTAAAATTATTAAAATGATTTAAGAAATGTGTTAAAATAACACAATTCGTACGTATTTATTCAATATGTTAAAATTTACACAAAAAAAAGAAATGTTGATTTTACTCTATAACAGGAGTGGGGATGACTTGTTATTATTCTTTGTGTGGTTTCCGGCACAGTCTCGAATTTTGACGCGGCTCGACATGTTATTTTATCATAAAAATTATGTTAATTGTAATACACACTTAACTTCAAGTGTACATTTCTTTTTTGTTGAAATATTAACATAGTATCGGTGTTACTATTTAACACATCCGTATTATGTTAAATTAACACAAAATTTTGAGTGGACCCGGTTTGGGACATGCGATTTATGTTAAATTCAACACATTTTTTCCAACAGTGTACAATAGCACTGTAATAAAAGTACTTTTCTTCCTGCTTATTCTTGCTTTTAGAAAATGCATTGCTAGAAAAGCGATTGAACTTCGAGAGTCAGTCAGCTCCGCGAACAACCGGCACTTTAGATGGCAAGTATAATTACGTGCCTCTGGGATCTAGAAAGCCGTGTTTGTACATTAAATCTTGGTGGCCAAATTTCGAATGGCGGATGTACAACAGTAACAGTCTCCGCTACATCTCCGATTCTTTAGTACGTTGCAATTATTTGCCATTAAAAGTGCGCAAATTCTTAATTGCCAATAAGAAAATTGCATTTTGGAATTCAACCTTGAAAAAAATTATTAAAATTATAACATACCTTTGCTTAATTTTTTAAGAAAAATTTTAAGGTTACTAATTAAAGTGTTAAATGAAACCAGTAATTGTAAAACCGGCATAATTTAAGTAAAGATACTAAAAAAAATTTTAAAATACTAAAATTTTTCAACACGTCGTATTGTTCGTACAATTCAATATGATTTTAGGAGACAAAATTGGAAAAATTAGAGGCGTTGATGTCTATGGAAAATCCAATAGCCTTCGAAACTTATAATGAAACAATTCGCATATTGAAAACTGATTGTATACATTATTTACACATATTGGATACCGGCAGATATAAAAATGAAGGTGGAATTACCAAACTCGATCAGCATCGCGTGAGCCTGTGTCACAAAACTATTGAAGACATTCTTAAGAGAATCAAGATTAACGGGGAGCTTCCTAATAATAACTACATGAGAATCGCGATGATACATGCGTATCAATATCTAAAAAAATTGAGAAACATTTGCGATGATGTAAGTGTATACGGTGCATCATAGGAAAGTAGAAATTGCAAGAGAAATAATGCAAAATCCCTCTTGCGAACTATCAGGATGTAATGAATGAGGATTTTCTCGAACAATTTTATTCCGTCGTAATTTGCTTAACGTTTCCGTTCGTTTAGCCTCAGCATAGTCTCCCGGATGTTTTTATTTGGATGATCGCAGGCTCGAAGCGAGTCGCATACTCGCGACTTCCCGCCGAGCAAATCGTCTATTCCGAGGAGGCGACAGAAATGGGCCGGAAATGTGGTAGGCGGTTGAATTTGTTTCCCAGGAATCCGGACGACGAAAACGAGCCTGTCGAATATAGCGCCTGCAAAATTGAGGCATTTTTGTGGCTCGGCAATGCGAAATATGCCGCTGCGTGTTGGAGTGCGATTCCGCCAGGATACGAGATCGACCATAGTAGAAACGTCGACGTTTTTCCGAAGTACATCGAGTACAACCAGTTCTCGGTAAGAACTACGGGGTGAAAAGGTATAGAATGGGGCATTGTGATGTGCGTGAATGTATCCAAATCCAAACGCGAACATCTGATTTAGAAAGAGATGTACAGTTTGGCGCGTGGAAAAAAAAATGCTATGCTAGGAAAAAAAACGAAAATGAAGCGAAACGTCTGTGAAAATGATCTCGTGACCAATGCCATATGATCCTTACAGACGTTCCAATTGCGAGCTCACATATTCCAAGGCCGCTTTGAACCCGGAATGGACGCTTCCGGTTTGCTGGATTCGTTCATACGTATTGTGTTTCAAGGCTACACAGCCTCCACGCAGGTAAGTGTGTAGGTAGGAAATTAACGAAAAAAACCTTCAAATTTTCCATTCTCCGGTTCTTGAAAACATGAAATTTTGAAGAAGGTCGGTTTTCAATTTTGATAACTCGCTCGCACTCGGTTATCGCGACGATTTCCATCGCGATATCCCCCCCCCCCCCGGGTGGTGATATCGTGCCGTATGTATACACGCGGTAGTTACGATCATGATACCGTGAAATTTCTGTGGCGTGTACTCCTGTGACATTTCACTTGCGAAACGCGCGAGAGTAACGACGTTGATGTAATATGAGCGTGATTAATGTTGCACGTTCCGTTCAGTTCATGCTGTGCGGTTGACAAATATTAAAATACACGGCTACGGCTCTATATTTGCTACTTAAAAGCGTCGTAATACTATCGAATTCGAGGTTTGTTTCAACATTAACGAGATATTATCGTACATAACCGGAAAGTTTTTAAGTCCCTTTCAAAAATTCTCCTCATCCGGATATTATACAGTACGATAATGTATTTAAGTAAGTATTTAAGTAATTAATGAATTAAAAGAGATTATTTGAATATACAAATTCAGTGTTTATTCCGGCGATTTAATGTTATTGAATTAAAAATGTTATTGTATCAAAAAAGTTTAAGAAACTAATTTTTTTTTATACAATTTTATACAAATTGCTTCATTCTTTTATTGAAATTTATGCTTAGGTTTATCTTGGCCTTAAGGCTAATTTTAGCCTTGAATGTATTTTAATTAAATCAAACTAAATTTTCAATTTCAATTTTAAACTAAAATATTAATTATTCATTTAAAACTGATTAATTTGTAATCCTCTGTCATTTTCTAATTTCTGATTGAAAGCTTTTTTTATGGCTGTATATATACTTTTTTAATTTATACTATTTATTTTTTTTTATATAATTTTTTTATAAAATGTAAAAAAGGAATTTAAAATCGTGAAATATAAACATAAAATATGTAAATAATAATAAAGTAGAAATAAATAAAGTAGGCATACAAATACATTTTATATTAATAATAATAATAATAACGCCATTGATAATAATATAATCTTAATAAAATGCAAATTGCATAAAAATGTCCAAAATGTATAGAAATATTGAATGAATGGACAAGTTTGTTAATAGATATTTATAATTTTTAATTTATTTATAATTTATAATTTAATCAATCAGATCAATATGTGCTTAAGGCTTGATAAATTTTTCTTCTTTTAAGCAATTTTTTTAACTTTGTTTACTGTCTCTTCTCTTCAAAGCTCTTAAAAAAAAGAATGGTTTATAGTGCATTTCTTTACAGTGACTCTGTATTAAAATTATATAAGAACCAATTTTTATATTAATTATATTGCAGCACGGAAAGAATGATTTTGTTGAAATAGATAAAAATTTGATCAAACATGAGCTTGGAAATAATTTTATTAGGCTATTATAAATAATTATATAGCACGCAATATGATTGATAACACTCAAACTTATAAAACACTCAAATTGATTGATAACAAACCAACCTTTGAGAACCAAAAATTTTTGTAATATTATTATCACGCTTAGACGTTGTGCATCATTATTTTGATTTTGTAAAAGTTTATTTTCATATCTGCATTTACCAAATGTTTAAATATTTTATTAATATCATTCTTTTCGTGTTACTGCCATATCGACAAATGACAAATAATTATGCGATATTTATTATTAATTAACGATTTGCGGAGGCTATTCGTAATGCTAGCAATCACGATCTAAAATGTTATTAATAAATTTAATGATTATGTCTACATCATAAGAAAAGTAATTTAATTATTGTCACATTTTACAAGAGTTTTGAAGAAAATGTGTACAATGTGATAAGAAAATAAGCGAAATTTTAATGTGAAAATCAGCAACCAAATGAAAAAAAAAGATTAATTAATATTTAAAATTCGTACTAACTGTGACATGACAAATAAATCGCTCATCGACGTTCGCGATATCTGATTGCAATATATGCACTTCTACAATGAATTCCCGGTGTAATAGCAATTCTCCATAATTATTATTGCTCTGCGCGAATATCGATTTTATTGAACACTGAGTTCTTTTCGCAATTGTGTCGGTACTTTCGATAATATGTGTCGGACGAATGAAGCGGACGATCGACTACGCACTCAAACTCCTTTATTTTACATGATAAGATTTGAAAAGATATAAAAAAAATGATCGCGTTATTACTGCGTTCAATGGAGAGGTTAACGATTTAGCCAGATCAAAGCCTCTCCACCGAATGACATCGATATCGGTTAATATCTGACACAGAAAGGAACGATCTTCAAGATAGAAACGCGCTTTGCTTCGAGCTCCGCAGATTGATCCGCGAAGAAAAGTTAAGCGACCTGTCAAATGCCGGAGATTCTCTTCAGGAAGAAACGAATCCTGGATCTTCCGGACTACTCCCGGTTTCAGCATGACTTTAGCATGTCAACAACAGTTTTTTCATTTTTTTAATTTTTACTTAGTGCAAATATTATACAATTCTAGAATATTTTCATGATTATTTAATTGATATCAGTCATCAGCCTTTATTAAACAAAAACAAAAATTCACGCGAGAAGAGAAAATTGAATATGAAAACTGTTATGAAATATTCTTACAAAAGATGCATCGATAAAAGAATTTTTTCTTACAAGAAAACGATTACGAGTGAATATATGTGCAGAGTGAGAAAGAGAAGCTAAGAAAAAATGCTGTGACAAAAATGTAATTCATGATTGTCTTTAGCAAATTTAATATAGGATATAATTTATTTTTGCTTAAGCATTTCGATAAATTTGCGAACATATTTAACGTAATATCTAATGCAAAATTTGCTAACATATTTAGTAAAAAACAAGATAATATTCTATATCATGAATCTTTGCTTTTATAACTGTAGCAAATACCGAATTATTTGGTTGACGTATCGATAATCGATATTCAAAATACTTGCGGTTCCGTAATATCGCAAATACAAAATTAAATTTCATAAGTGAGAAGATAATATTTCATTTGCTCAATACCGAGTCTTTATACATATTACATCTTACTTAATAAATTTTATATAATAATTAAAAATGTTAAATTAAAAATTTATTTCTAAGTTAAAAGTATTATATAACAATATTAAAATAATAAATTTTTAGAAGCTTCTAAAATTTTAAAATTTCATTTAAAAATATTAATTTTAAAGTAAAGTATTTATTGGACACATTAATTTAATGTTATGACATGCATTTTGTCAATTTTATATAAATAAATATATCGAAGAGATTATTTGATATTCAAATCAAGTTTATTATATATGTAATTGTAAATAATCATATAAAAATAAATAAATCTGTTCATGTTTTAAATTATGAAATTAAAAATTAATAAATTAATAAATATTGTTAAAAATTATTTTTATTTCTGTTGGCTTATTGTAACCATCTTGAATTATGATATCAGAAGTGAGAAAATACATAATAAAAAATTCTTGCAAAAATATATTAAAATAAAAAATGTTTTTTTGATAAAAAAAACATTTTCAATCGATGAAACAAACTTGTAAAATATGTTAAAAATTTCTTCTTTTTGTTCCTTTAATCAATAAATAATCACATATCTAAAATTAAATTGTGCTTCTGTTCTTGTTAGCCTAAAATCGGCACAAAATATTATAAATATAATAACAATAACTAATAAGGATAAGCATATTTTTTATTAAATAAAATTTAGTTAGATTAGAATTATATCAAATAATAAACAATATTTTTTTAGAAAAAATATTTACATTAGTTTATTAAAATATTAAAATAGATGTTATTCCTAATTTATCCATTATTTTTATACATTATGGCAATGATAATTAAATTACTATTCATGTGAAAATTTGATTTTCATTTTCTTTGTTATATAAATTTGCTTTTAAAATAAAATAATCTTCATGCAATGCAAAAAAATACATAATAACGATAAAGAAATATTATATATTAATAAAAAAGTTTTAAGGATTAAATGATAATTGACGATATGTGAGCATTGT